ACTGTTCTTGATAACTTGCGCATGAGTCGGTTATGCTTATTAATATTATATCCACTTAGGTACTATTTCATTAGATTATATCTAGTGCTATGGCGAAAATAGGTTTCGTGTTTTTTTAGATCAAAAATGGAAACATTTTTAATGACCTATATTATATTTTGTTTGCTTTTAGGTACAAAATTCAGTGTTTCATTGTATCTTTGGGAAATATTTTTTCAGTACTCCTGCAGATTGACAGACAGAGTTGGTGGTGGACTACCACCACAGACACAAAAACGCAGACACTAGTCTGTAGTGCGTTTTCTGCCTGTTCCTAAATAACAGTCACAAAAAACTAACACGATGATTTTACGATAATCTTCGATAATACACCTACCTACTAAAATAATGATTATTAAAAAATCTAAATAAAATAACGTCTATCGTACATAATATTGCATCATCCATAGTAGTATTCCTGCAATAGGTTATACATTCACTTGTAGTAACATAATCATGACAGTGCAGATTTTAAATTTAATTTGTTACCTTAATCTGATATTATTATCAATCTTTAATTTATTTATGAGATATACCTAAGTAACTTATCTTTACACGTAATTTACGTTAAAGTAAAAAACATCGTACCATTCGATTTGAAGTTCATTTTAAAAACTTACTCACCTACGTACGTATTTACTAGGACTTTGACGCCGAATTATCGAATCAGGATTCTCAAATTCATCAGTTATCTTGTACGAAATATATCTTTCGGATAAATGTTACTTACTTATTTACATTGAAACAATTGGGCACTTTCCTTAATCAAAAATAAATTATTTCGACAATTCAATACAATAAAATATTAAAATATAATTACACTTTCAATAATTGATTTTATAACCAACTTAATTTTAGTATTATCCCAGTCAATTTTTAAGAAAAAAGTGTGCTGTTTGGCGCTTAAAAGATTTGACGTCACAATAAACAATCTCGTACAAAATTCATAGAAAACTGTCGTTTTTGACAGTTCGAAAAAAGAATTGAATTTGACTTGTTGGCCAGTACCTAATTACATGTACCTACCTAATTAGAGGTGTGGCATGTTCTTACATAATTAAACAAATGATAAAACTCCAGTAAATATCGTAAATTTAGTTACTTATCACAGTTATCACATTTTACAGTCAAACCCACCTTCTTTTCTTGTCATTGCAAAAATCATAATGCATACAGTTTCAATGGGATTTCTCTACATATAAGAGCTTGGTAAATACTTAAAAAACTTCCGACGTATCCAATTTGTGTGGAACCGCGTAGATGATCCGAAAGAGAACCAAAGTTGTCGTTATAGCCTATAGGATTGGCAAGCAAGCAAGCTGAAGGCACTGATTCACTATATGTACTAAGAATATATAAGTTCTCTCTACTGCTGAAGTAGATTTGGAATAGACCTCTACAGAAACCGAAATCCTTTGCTAGACAGACGTAGGTAGTTGCGATCTTGCGGTCATTCGACTAACGAACCGTCTACATCATCACAAATGGACCCTGTTAAATAGAAAAGATCCAGCCCACAATTTATTACTTTTGAGTAAATGAAGTTTAAAGATATGATACAGTATCTATTCAATTGGTACTGTGTCATATGATTTTTTTTATTATCTGCACAACAACTTCATTTAAGTTCTCAAGTTCAGTTCAGTTCAGTCTCAGTTAACGTAATAAAATGTGGGCTGGATCTTTTCTGCTTAACAGGGTCCAAATGAGAAATGAAATGAAGTAATTTAAAGGACTTCTTCTAATGGTTTCTAGATCCTCTTGTACCGGATCTCAGTAATTAAGCAAGTCCATTTCAATTTACCAACTTAACCTAACTAAATAAAAAGGCGAGGACTGTGAAATATGAGCATTTTAGCAGCTTGTCTGACATTTTAAATTTTTATTTCCAACTTAAGTCTAATTCAATTACTCTTAATTATGATGAGTTGCTTCTAAAGTTTTATGGCCTTCGTGGATTGTAGAGGTATAAGACAAATATGAATAACTAAGTTGTTAGGTATGTACCTAGATGATGAAATGTTAGATGAAATAGGCGTAATGTGCAGAAAAATTAAACCACTTGAAGATAAACGTTCGATTAATTGATTTTACGACGCCTTAGAATATTTACTAACATTTAGTGTACAAAGGTCGGCCCTGTACGTCCAAATTTTATAGTCGATCTTGATCCACTATCTCTGGATCTCGATTTTCCTATCTACTACTGATATAATACAACTAATTTCGGTTATTATATTACGCAATTTCGGCCGTTAGTTGTTTCTTACCTTTGCACATTTACATACATAAGGTACCTATACTTATATCCCCAGTTCCTTACTCTACCCTCCTGCAAAAGCTGACATTGTAGAATCGTTGTGCATCATATTGATTAGGAAATGATGTAAAATATTGTCAGTCAGCCATATAAATTGATCTTGAACTTTGACACATCGAGCCAAACTCCTTGTTTGCTAATATTTTGCATGACACCGAATTACATGACATTATTCCATGTTAATTTGGAAAGTAAATACTTATATTGCGGGTGACTAGGTAAGTACAACTTATTTGTACAAATGTAGACATACATAATTGTTGACTTGAAGTTGATAGCTAAAATACCAATGTTACTTAGGTTCAAATTATCGCACCCACAATTACTGCGTAGTTCCAGGTGATCCAATTAAAATAATTTAAACAATAGATTAACATTTACTTTCTTATTTTTTTTCAAAACCATCCTCACACAAAGTCATACTTACACATTATCTACACCCAAGCCAGGAACAATAATCGAACCCCAGACACGCAGATCGGCGGGCTACCTACTACTTACACCAACCGTACAATGTAGGTTTTCAAAATTGTTCAGTTGTTTACCTACATCTAAATGCGTTTGTAAATACTGAATTAAGTCCATTTTAAACGAATCTTACACTTATAAAACATAATCGTCTTTGTTCCTCACAATGGACATAAAAGATATTTTACACCTATTCAAAATTTTTCATTTACTATCCCCTAGCAGTCGTCTAGCACATTGATAATTATAACTGTGTACTTTCATTCTTATTAATTGTGTAAACAATAACATGGACAGGTGGTTAGGCAACGAAAACAATTAGTCCGCAATTTGTGGTATTTGTAGGAACATTATTTTTTATTTCCTTGTAGGTATCACTTCAACTTCAATGCCTACTTCTGACTAAAATATTACGTTGTTGGGTCAGAATCAGATGTTGGAATAACAATTAGGTGCTAATATTGTGGGCGTGGTTCGGACAGTTAGCATGAATTATGCAATTATGGGGTTCTAGACTAACCGGTCCCATTTTTGTGAGACTGGACTTGAAACTGAAGCCCGAGCCTGATGATTTATAGCTAAATATATAATATCTAGACATAATAATATTGGAATTGCATTTTGAAATTGCCTTTTGAGGGATCTCACTATCTCAGGACAGTACCTATCCTGTTGCAGGCTGCTTGCTTTCTTGTTACCAGTCAGTCCATTATACAGATGTTTCTTCAGGGAATGATCACCTATCCATGCCACTCCTGGAGGCAGTAGTCTGTACTCACAATTTGATGGAAGCTGGAGAAGTGCGTAAAATTCGCACTAGATGGCGCCTTCCTGTTGTTCTCTACCCTCATAATAAGATAAGACTTGACGTGAGTTTATTAGATATATTTATTGTGCATTGTATGCTTATATTTTTTTATATTATTTACCTTGTTGGTATAGAACCTGTGCCGTTCATTATGCAAATGTTTGTTTATGAGTAATTTCCATGTCTCTAACATTTATTAGATATGTGGGTTTTCCCATAATTCAGAAGTCATTCATAGGTATACAGTCAAGATTATAACTAATTTTCAATGTGAATTGCAGGTACCTAACAAAGAAGTTATTTATCAGACTTGTGTCTTCAGTTTATTAATAACTCATCAGTATTGTTGTTCTAAGTGTAATAAAGTAATGATTAATGCAATATTTAAACTTTATTTCTTGAACGGAAATACACAAACTGTACTTTAATAGTTAGGTTAGGCCAGTAAGTAATATTTATTGTATATTTTCATAGACCAAGTATTTATTACTGGTGAACTGGTATTTGTTTGTGTATTTGAAACAAAAGCCGAGCTTAATTTCAAACTGTTATCTTGGCAATTGATAAGTGAATAAGTAGCAATCGCTAATCCGGGGATTGAACCCGAACCTCGTGTTTGTAGTGCTACATGGCCACATGGCTTTCCAAGTTGCGACCATGATGATCGTAACTAGTGACTTGATAACCACTACTGGGGTATTCAGGACAGGGGGTAACATAAAAGAACAAAAAATAAAAAACAAAATATAAACATTATTTTGACTATAATTCAATAAAAATGCAGATGGAAATAAGAAAACTTACAAGAAAAATGTCATAATTAAGCTTTCTACTTAATTTGTTTGTCCATAAGAAAAATAATAGAATACGTAGGTAATAGTCATTTTTTGGAAGATGAACTTAAAATTGGAATTAAATTAGTAAAAATTAAATACTTAACTAAAAGTGTCGTAAACTAAACTGAACTGTTATATTATATGACTCATGATATATTACTAACATTAAGCTAAACAAGTTACAACTTAAATGTCGGTTTAAATACAAAAGAAATTAAATAAATCAGTTTTTAATGGTTTATAGTTTGTAATGAACTGATAATAAATAATAATCGTGATCTTTATGAACGCTTAAAACTAAAATTCCTTAACATTAGGTACAAAATTATTATTTGTTGAACGACTTGCTTAGAAAGGGAGAAAAACTGAAACTAAAAATAGTAAAACAAAATAAAAAATACCATCTCGGTTCTATAAAGCTGAATAATAATATAATCAAACGCAAAACCAGTATTGGTCAAAATGTCGTTTTATTGTAATATAATAGACTATAAGAACTCGTAGATCTGACAAGTTATAAAAATATCAAATGTGTCGCGAGGATACAGTCTCTTGGTAAGATTCGATAGCGTACGATGATTCTATCAGAATTTCTCCTAATCACTTACATTGGTCCCTTAATTAAAAGTTTAAACTTTGTTTTATATAAATATTATAAAATATCACACTTTAAATTCAAAAGAAAACTATGCTACTTGGAAACTAATCACTTAGTTCTGTCAAAGTAGGACTAAAGTACCTAATAACTGTGCCAATTTGAATATTATATTCAAAAGGAGACAATAAATAAACAATAATCTATCTCGATCAACTAAAAATTAAATAAATCGATTTATCTCGTTAATAAAGTAAAAGGCACACTTGATGCGGAGCGCGGGCGAGCGCGACATGTCCGCAGCACCGACCCCGCCCCGCGCGGCGACCGCTCGCCGGCAACAATTGTATAAACATGTTTCATATATTATTGTGTCATATCTTTATACAGGTTTATCGATACAACTCGGGAGTTCGGCGGGCCAGTGCTCGGGAGCTCCGGTCCCGATGCTTTTTGCGAGGCGGACGCGAGCGCCGCGCGCCGAGAGGGACTCGGCGCGACCACTACGAAAATAATCACCCAAACTTGGGACCGGTTTCAGGCCGCATCTCGTCCTCCTCGCACGAGGCAAAATGAAAAAATAATAATATTCCTCGGCAGACTAGTCGTGCCGATAGTGCTCAGATGGGCCGCCGAGGAGATCGCTAGCGATGTCGACTAGCCGGAGATTATCGTACGGCACGCGGCCGCAAATGAGCACTTTCGGTTTTAGTTTGCCGAGGTCGACTACAATAAATAATTATTCGAGAATAATAAACTGGAATACTTTGATCCACAAGACCATCGAGCTCCCGAGTAGTAAATCGACTGATTCCGCCCGTAGCGTGTAAATCGGTTGTTGTTATAATTAAAATATGCAATATAAGTAACATTTGAGTTCAGGTGCAGAATCAGTCGACTTTATGTATGGTAACGAGCCACGTCCCGTCGACGCAGGCCTCGTCCGTATGCGGTGCGGCATCGCAGCTGCTAGTTACAAAATAAAATAATTATTACAGTTAAAGAGACTCAAAATAAATAATAAATTATTATCTTAAACCCTTAAAAATAGATCACGAGCGCCTTCTCGCGGTACAGTACCGAGCGCGGATAGGCAGTACGAAATAAATAAAATGTTCTATAAGCTAACTTTACAGAGACCACCGCTCGGCGGAGGATCATCGGGAAGACTTCCGCGAGCTACACAATAAATATCTAATATTATAAGGTGCCATTTACAAGTGCGTGCCGATAACTAAATATGTAGGTACGAAACCACTATACTTCACACCGCAAACTTTCGAGACGCCAGAAAACACTTCGTTCGTTAACTTTATAAATTACAAGGCGAAGTAGCAAAATAGCATCGACAAACTGGAGATCATTCGTTGAGCGGGTGTGCGTGTGCGCGAAGCGCGACGAGCGGGACGCCGCTCGGGCGCTGGCTGGAAGACGTCGAGTAGGCACAATGTGACGGACAATCCTTAAGCTATGTTCGGTATAAGTTAACTTAGGACTAAGCGGTTGCAGGCTCTAGGCGATAACGAGGTCCCCGAACGCCGATGACAGACGGTTGAACACAGGGAGTCGTTCTTCTTCAGGGTCAGGAGACTGCGTGCGGCGGAACGCGAATGCCGTGGCGTGCGCAGGGGGAGACATTGCAGGAGGTGAGTGCGGCGCCAGGGGAGACTGCGGGGCCAGCGGCGAGTGGGGCGAGCGCGGGGAGCGCGAGCCGTCGCTCATGTAGGAGGCTAGGGAGCCGCCAGACGACAGGGACGCCAAGGAGCCACCGGGAGAAGGCGGTTCACGGCGCCGCGCCTCTTCTGCGTTGTGTACGAAGTGGCACCGGGGTCCATATGGACAAAATCCAACAGAGTGGAATGTGCGACACAGTTCCGTCTTGTACTTGGGGTGGCGTTGCAAGTTGCGTAGTTCGCGCATTCCATGCGCAAATTGACACTTATCGCCATATTTGCATACACCGGCTTCCTCGAAAGGTCTGCAGAGTTCTGTCTTGTATCTGCTTGTGGCTGGTGGGGGTGGCGCAGGTTCGCTGGTGGTGCGCTCGAGCCGGCGGTGCCCGAGACGATCGAGCAGCCCGGCGAGGGCTCGGTGAGCTGGCACGGAAGCGGCGCGAGCTAGTACTGGATGCTGTTCCCAACTGACTGCACCAGATACTGCTCCAGCTCCCACAGGGCCAAGGGTCGCGCTCAGTGTGGCGTTCATCGTCTGCACTGGCCGAGATTGGTTCTGAAAAATTACAAAAATAATTGTTAGGAAACATGATAACCGATTTTTACGTTTACGTTTAAAAAAAAATTGTAATACTAGTTTCTCTAATTATATAGTAACAATAACAGTGTAGTACGTATTTACAATAATGTTACTTTACTATTGTGCCAAAAGGTATAAAAGACAAACATAGAACGTATTTTTATGACATAGCTGTATTTGTACAGTACAAAAAAATACACAATCTTTCTAGAAGGGTCGAGTACCTGCCTACGTTAATAAAAAAAAAACTATCCCCAAGAGCTGGTTTGGTCGTCTACCTGCTCAGATTCATCTCGTTTTCACTAATGGTCTACATGTTAAAACGGTTAATGTTACCAATTAACCAAGGTTTAAAATGGCGTTTTGATGCCCCGGGGGTGAGTCGAATTTTAATGTGGAGTTTATAACCACCAGTGGATGTCGGTCGTACGAACCCTTCCCATGAATTATTTATTTCGGTAAATTTCCCAATTCCCATCAATATTCCCTTTCTAGAGGTGTAATGTTTAGAGATGCAAATGTGTTGCGCATCTTTTGTTTTCACGGAGCGTCGAACCTGAAGCTATAGAGCATCACCATAACAATACTGGTGTTCACGCGAGAGGCAGTTGACACGGGCGCGACAGCCACAATCGCGGTGATTGTGCACTATTGTTCAGCCATCGCTTGTCGCCACTATGACGAATAATCGTCGCTAAGTTATTTGACGACACTTCACGCAAGGGGCAACGGTCGGCCAGTAAACGGCGTCTGTCAGTTCGATAACAGCACTACGATGCTCATCTATTCATGTTACTAATAAGATTTTATATTTATTTTTACCATCGAGAACAATCTGGGGTATATTTATTATTTACGCAACAATCAATAAACTAAGGAGAAAAATTCCAATCCAATCCAAAAAGCATTTGAGCCGATGATTTGATAGAGAAGCAGTATGAAGGTCCGAACAGATCAGTTCGTCGTGGAACCTGAGCTCTATACATAATGTATGAACCGCCGCATCTTGTATGCGGCCTCAATCGATGTGAATGACACGTCATTGTATATTCTATTCGCCTCCGCCTCGTCCGGGGATCGTAAACACGCAAACACTTGTGTTTTGGAATACAACGGACAAATTATTATTTGATATTGCGCTGTTTGTGGGCATGATGCGTATTAGACGATTTTCTGACTATGTACTACATTTCCTAATAGCATTGATAAGTAACTAAATAGCAATACTACTACGACATTTACTGGATGGGAACCTCGAATTAATGGCTCACGCCGACAAAGTCTATAATACTAGACGGTAAGTCTTGCGGTTACCAGCAAACGGTTGGTAAACAATTACACACGAATGCTTTTAGTGGTGTATGAGTGCCTATTGTTCACTATGTGGGCAATAACCGGCTACTCTTAAGACTGCGTCTGCGCAGTAACTATTTGTCCTTCATGAGAGATTGTCTCTGCCCTGTTCACATTACTTAAGGTAAACGTTGGAGAACTAGCAGAAAATATAAATAACAAAGAAAAGTCATCAGTGTCCTACTCCAAAAACGTCGCGAAGCAGTGTCGGTAGGAAATTTATTGTCGACAATATATTTCAGCTTAATGAAACAATATGACCGTAGAGTAACGTCAAAGGCGAAAGTGAAGCAAACAAATGAGCGTGTCAGTACAATCGCGGGTGAAATGTTGCAGTGAAAAGCCAGGGGTTAAGTTGGTGGCGGCCAAGTGTCGACGGAAAACGGTCGAGGCGTAATTAGAGAGTTATCAGAGCGGAACATTGGTTAAACGCTGCTTTCCATCGGACGTTGCGCTCGCGCAACCGAGCTCCAGGGAAAATTGTAATCACTGTCGATTTCAAATGGCCGCGGTCGTTGCGTTCGAAGCTGAGGGTAATCAGCCGGCAGCGCGTACACCACGATTGCGCCTCGCATATTATAATAACACATGTTTTAGACTCTTGCTCTACGTCAATAGTTTACATGTTCGGGCCAACAAACTAATCCATAACACTGTAACGGGTGTTTGTTTAGTAAATATAATTTTGGGTAAAGGATAGTGTAACGAACGTTTCCAAAGATCCGGCGGGCACAGGTCGCGTCTCATGCAGTATATGTACTGTTTTGGTTAGCGTGTGATGTTGTCAACGCGACAAACACGCCGACCGCTCGAGCCAATGTGTTTGTGTTTCTCATTATTGTGGTGGCACCAGGTTGCATAATTCTATATGTATACTATTTTAAGCTTTGCTCCAAGTATCAATTACATTTACATTTAGGAGTAAAATTAAGTAACACGCATTCAAATATCGATTGGCAGTAGACCAAGCAGGCTTTTGCTACTGCAGTAAATGATGATATATTTAGTTAAAGATTGACATAAGCATTTCAATATACGGTCATAAAATATTAAAAGAGTAAACATGAGTGGCGAATATTCAGATGTTAATATATTACCAGAACGTACCTACCGAGGGCAACGACATTACTGACTAATAAAACGTACTGTTGTTACTTGTGTCAATTGTTATAAAGCATAGTGCTGCCAGTGAATCGTCAGGGTTCAAGTTTAGGTCTCCCTTAGTTTGGAGCTTACTACAAAAACTCATGAACAATTAATGGAAATTGAAAAACTGTTTAGTCAGTAAGGTTATCGAACTCCAGCATCGCGCCGCGTGTGCTCGCGTATTTACGTTGGCAATCACTGAAAATTTACACCTCTTCTTTACTGTCGATGCTTTCCGAACCGAGGTCTCGCTAAATATATTCTCTTTACAGATAACCTCTGAGGGCAATGGCACCGAATAACAAAGAAAGCGAATTCAGGTTACTTATTTCCAGCAGATTTAAAAACTTAACAAGTCAAATGTGTTGCTATTGTGAAGGAAACAGTTTAAAAGGTGTATAAATGTTGCCACGGTTACTAAACGCTTCAAAACCTTAACCTATGCCTTGCACATTCACAATATCCCAACCTGACCTTTATTACAATCATTACATTTACGTATTTAGTGATGTTTCGTTGTGGTTAGTTTGCTAGATCGTTGTAACCGGCTAAGGACCGTAACGAGCATGAATTCGAATCATTAAGACACAGTGCCTTGCGACAATTGATACAACTATATAACTCAAACAAGAGAACTGCTTAATTGAACGTTAATTGGTTCTAATCAAATGCGTTCTATATTTAAATGAACTTTTAACGATTTGAAACTCTCAGACAAATACACATGCTGTAACGGACAAACGTATACAGATGGATGCGACAGTTTCAGTAGCGTATTAATTTTGTAAATTATTTATGATTCGAATAAAAATTTAATTTAAAGTAATAAGCTCAACCAACTATTGCAACTGTACAAAGAACGTGGAGTATCAACTATTTCAAGTGGTTCATTTCTCTGAGTAGGCAAGCGAGGGTCTTGGCGATTGATCCTATAACGTTTATTGAATGATTGCGCGAAAACGATCACAGTCGAGATGTTGCGGTCCCCTCTGACAGAGACCTAACAACAATCTCCTAATAATGACCACAGTAGTCATTAACCTTTCAATGTCTGACGTCGTTGCCCCTTGGTGGTGCATAAAGTCGTTTATTTCAGTTTGCATAAAGTAGCTATAATATATTGCTACACATACAATTTTTCCTGTTGTTAAAATAATGAACGAGACACAGATTTCCCTCAAATATTTGAAATATAGAAATTACTGCTTCGTGAGCGCTTACGCGAAATCGTGAACAATGGATGAATATTATGTGATTCACGCGGTGCCACTGCGTAGCTAGTGTAGCGCACTACCAACCGGCGTATCTCTGAACCTATGGTTATTTCACTCAGCCAATCATATTATGAAACATGTTAAAATAGCGACGCAACAAGTAACGCGATTCAATGCTCTCCCACATAGTCCAGACATCCGCCCAAACGGTCACCATATGATTCAAAACAGGCTGATAGTGTCGCTTGATTATTTATTAGCACAGTGTACATTTTTATTATTATTGCATTCAACAATAGTACGCAGTTTGTAGATTAGGCCAGACTTTTAGAATATGAAAATATTAGGAAATATATTCTAATAAATAAAGCTTTATCGACTCTACCATGAAAATAGTGTTGTAAACCAACTTAACATAATAAATTATATGGCAAGAAACTGGAGATGGTTCTTTATTGGTAGTTAGGCTGTATGTACACAGCATTATAAAAATATGGTAAACGTATCCACAACAGTTCACATAGTTAGCGACTGTTAGATGAGTAAGACCGGACGCCGGGCGTACCGCACGCATGCAGATGGGCACCACGCCGTGATTGCAATGCGAGAACACTCCGGCTAAGGTATAAATGCCATCACATGTCAACCGCTCCTCTTTATTTATATTACGAACACCTACCAAACGATTGTCTGCTGGTTTATTATATTAGACGAAACAATGGAAATGTATTTGAAGAAGTAAGTAGGCAATCATTAACATAGCAAAGAGGAAATCACGTAGTACTAGATACAAGATTCGAAGAATTTTTAAAATTGCCTACTTACATCACTTTCCTGGTAAGGTTAATAATAAGTAACTACATAATGTAGTGTACAATAGGGGTCGTCTACATTATCTATCAGAATAATTGTTGCTCGTATACATTATCTCCAAAATGAACTGCACTGACTTCTAATAGAAAACTGTTGAAGGCAAAACCTCCGCTATTGCCGTTTACCGGTGAATTCCATGGCGTTTATCCCGAACTTTTCAGAATTTAGCTCATACATATTTTTTGGATACGATTGCTGTTACAATGCTATCTTAATTACTCTAAGTTTAAGAAGTATTCAACTTTGAAATACCTATGTGGATTATTACAGTCGTACTTATAGTGCCGTGTCGCGTCTCGCGTCGTGTCATAGCAGTGAGCAAGACGTGATGTGTGTTATTATGGCGATGGCGGGTGGGCCTGGCGATGGCGTGCCGCATGCATACAGACGTTCACCTCGGTGTCGCTGGCGCTGGACTTGCTACGGGTGCGGTGTTTATTGCGCGCGGGCCATAAAGCTCGCGACTCGAGGTGAAGCGGCCGTAAAGCAAATGTCAACAAAGGGCTTCGTTCAACTCCAGTATGTTTACCCCCCGGCCGCTCAAAGCGGAGGAAGCACGTCCCCCGGCTGGTCCGCTTTTAGCACCTCCTTATTTATAGTTACAATATAGCAAGACACCGAGCCGCCACTGGCTCGGGGTTGCTTTGCGAAATCGGACAGGTAAACATTTCTTGTGATTGTGACGTTTTCATAGTGGTTGACGTTCAGATTTCAGAATAAAAATAAACTGAAACCTCACTTAGTATTTATGTTGCGTACCGTAGTTTGGCTGTAATCAACGTCATGACAACTGATCATTGTGTCGCAGTCATTAGTGACAAGCTGTTGGCCCTTACGTCAGCCGCAGGTCTAGAGTTGCAACAATTCCTTTGTCCGTATAATTTTTATTGTTGCGTCACTACCGGGTTATACTTTCCCCGCAAATCGTTCAACATGTATGACTCACGCGAAGGTAATAACATAGTTAAACATTTTCTGTGACTAATGCATTTTTGGCCCTTTTTGAGTCACAATGTTATATGACAAGAATGGTAGTGGGCGAGACTAGTCTATTATTTGAAATGGACTTCGAAAGTTTTGAGGCTTTATATTGAAGTGAGTGTCTAATTGCCTCGATATACAACTGTACTAACTTGTTCTGAGAATGTCCATGTTTGTTAGAGTATTGGTAACCCTAAACAGTACCGATTATCTTACAGTTCTAAAGATCTAATACTTAACAAACGGGTTAGGCAATAATTCTGAGCAGGAATTGTTCTAACTAAATTACCAAGATTAATCATAGCTCTGCAAACGCTTGTCAGCGAGCTATTTAGAACAGATTAGTGTTAAATGTTCTTAGACGTTTGAGTGTAGGCAAGTCCATGAACATAAATATCCTAATTATGTTTAGCAATTGAATGACGGTACGATACACTTTTGGCACTTTCGTAATAGTATTCAACAATTCTACTGTTATGAAATGTATACGTTCATACTGAATGTGTATCGAAATATAGACCTAATAAGCGTAACTTACAATTAACGCCAATTCATCCAACTCGTAATCTGGACTCACCTGTGAAAAAGAAAAGAAAAAATTAATTCAAGAGGAACCAAACACAAAATGGTAATAATATGTAACATAATGGAATGTGAGACTGAGGGATTTCATAAATCCAGAATGTGATTTTAAAAGATTGTTACTTAATGTATTTTTTTTGTAATACAATCAATAACTGATTGCTTTATTTTAATATCTTATTGCTTGATAAACGTTTGCTTGCTAAATATTGTTAATTGCTATTTCTTTATTTGCAAAATTGCAGCCGTCGAGATAGACCTATGACTGTAAAACTATTATTTATTTGTTACGAAACCAATAAATATAAATTGGTTGCGATAGTTCCCGAGCTATTTGTATACACACTAGCCCAATATATTCAACAAGGAGATACTCTCAACCGGTCTCCGTTGAAAGCGATAGCACTTCCTATAAGAAAGTAAAACGTACTCCGCTAGTCGTCCGGAAAACTTACATAGACGGCCCGATATAACTGCACTGATTATATTAGACAGGATAGATTGACTCCACGACGTGTGCCAAGTGGTGGTCTACTCATAATTAATAGTAATTACAGGAGTAATACAACAATTATTGCTTTACGGACGTTTTATGGTGTTTTTATTGCAACTAACTACACTTCATGGTTATTAGCTATCACAAGTGTTGTGCAAGCTTCTAATAAATCAGTTATGAAATGATTACGATCGACATCAATATTAGGCTGTTTACGTATCAGGTTTGAAATTATAGAGATGACGTTTACGATAACCTAAATATGGTTTTACTAGTTCTCGTTATTTGGTACAGAAGTTTAAAAATAGGACAACTTATAGTTTAAACTACACGACATGTCAACTGTGAATTTATTTCTTGTTCAGGTCCAATGCTATGAACAATGAAATTTCGATAGTAGGTACACATGGCATTAATTTGCAAACGTCCTTCACACGTAGCGATATAAGCGATAATGCCCACATTTTCCGCTCCTAGTTACGTACAAATAAGTATATACTTGTGTTCATTCCACACAATTAACTACTAAGTTAGTTGCACGTGAAAATTACTGACAACAATACTGATATTACGCCACCACGTTTAGACGTGCGGTGTCACGACCCGAGCCGGTAATAGGAGACTACGTTTCTAACGCAACTGGGTGATCTCTAATTGAACCCGGCAGCGCGCGAAGGTCTGTGCGGATCACGAACTTAGCAACACAATCTTATTGACCGAATGAGCTGACATTGTTATAAGTTGAAAAGATTTTAATTCAATATGACGTAAAAGGAACTAATTTTCTTGTGAAAAGGAACTAACGAAAATTATTTGAACAAAATTTTTTGTCGCAATTGGTGCTATGCTGTATAGTCGTCTTATTCATTAATTTATTCACTTGTTTAAACCTCCTTATAACTTACTCGTTACCACGCATCGGCCTTTTATACTTGTTGTGGGCATCATAATCGGATCGACGGGGCTTAACGATGGCGCTTTTCAAGCAAACGGTATAAAGTTACAGATTGTATCACAGGACGAAAATATAGGCTTTTAAAATGATATAACTGCCAAGTAGTTAATGCTTCATTTAAAGCCAAAACAAGAATTAACAGAAATAATTTATTATGGCAAACTAGTCATAATTCGTTTAAGTTTCATCCTAGGCCCACTTCCTTATTAGAAACACAGATCATCATCACGTGTCGGTTGGGCGCAAGTATTCATGGCGCCTGGGTTTTGCGGCAATCGTCGGCCAGTGGGCTCGATCAACGAAGCAATCGGGGCCACTTGTGCTAATGAAACACTTCAATTGAATTGGGGACATTAATTCAGCTGGCGTATCGTGCTACTGTTTACATTGGTACCAAATAAAAATAGTTCTGCATTGCACATGGAAAAGTACTAAACTACAGACACAGACGAGACCAGTTTTACGTTTTATTAATTAGTAAGTAGGTACATGTTACTTTACACACTTGGTATATTCTTAATCTAGTTTAAATATAAGAAATGTAGTACTATATTTATTCAACTATGTACACTGTACACAGATGAATGATGAACTAAATAAATAAACTTTGTAGGAGCTTTCGTGATATCACCGTTTTCATTATAAAGTAAAATTAGCTCCATATTAATGTGATTCTTACGTTAGAAAGGCTGGGCTTTTTATTCGAATCTATTGCATTCCGTTGTTTTGTGTAGTAGTTGCTTCACATATCCAGTGTTAATTAGACGTGAGATGAAGTAAGACAATGAACTCGACAACAAGGCCGAAGCAGCAGAAACCACTTCTGTATTTAAATTTTAATGTCTTTTGTGCAAATGGAGGTCGAATTTAAATTATATTTTGTTAGCAGCATTAATTTAGTGTAAATTGCTAAATAAGTAGTTTTGTGTGTGTATAATACGCAAATTTTTAAATGTAATAACCGTATCAAATATATTTCTTTGAATACAATGACAAGGATGATCTACGCTACAGATATCCAAAAGCAAACATAATAATTTTGAACGATAACACACAATAGAAGTCTAATGCCTATGGTAATAAACCTATGGTATGAACAATTATTCAACATTATCTAATTCATTACGAACCTTGTAGAAATGGAATCGATTTAAATACTTTACAAGTTTACATATTCATAACGAATTACATATTACTAGATCGACAGGTTTGTAAATTTGTTGATGCTGACATTAACATTATTGGCATTTGTTGGTTTCTATTTAAATACAAACGATTTTAAATTACTTATTAATGATGGAACTTTATTATAATAAATTGATGTGACAATAAAATGAGCGATGGGGCCATTCAATTCTCATTCATAATATAACCTTAACCTGCTGTTTAGCTGTAATGGTGTAACATTAACTAGTGACTTACTTTACATAAATTGTGTACAATATTATAACTTAAGTTAGCATAGCATCTACGGCTAATAAGACACAGAAACGGCAAAAAGTAAGACAAAAAGCAACATTTATCTAAGTCTCAAGAAAAAACTAAAACTATAAAAGAAAAAGAACTGTTGCAAAATCTAGTATGCTGAATAATGTAACAAAGAATTTACTCGTCTTTTTGGTTCATTATCATTAAAAAGATTCAAGTCCAAACTCGAAGCATTTGACACAAATTGGTATTCAAATAAGAATGAATCTACAAAAAACTTAAAAGCCAATTGACTAATACTGAAGATCAGCCGTCACGACCTTGAAGCCACAAAGAGTTCGCCGGCCAAATATTAATTAATTATTTATAACATAACTCGTTTGGCCAGTCCGTGGCTTGCGTGTTGATTCTCCACTCCACATTAAGATCCGGACATTGATCAATAATATAGAATCGACAAAACACCACGCGTTTAAAGTGAATGTGCCTAGCCTCGTCAGTCTTCATCAATGCATGGGAATAAACGACATGTAAAAAGTTCATTACTTTAATAAAGCTTACAGCCAGCCAGCACCAAATAGGTGTCAGAGTAAATAAATAAGTAAGATTTCAGCGACTGTGAAACTTCGAAAGAGAAAAGAGATAAATAGTGAATATCGAATTTATTAATGATGATACATGAAAATAATAAAAATAACATTTCGATATGTCAATAATGATGTTATTGAGACATTAGGTTACGCGGATCTATGGTACGGTTAGTAGGCACGGCGTGATGCACGCGACTGCGATTGCTGATGTTGCAATCACATGTAGAGACTGTCACGCGACCTCTGTTTAGCAATCGAGGGATCTAACATTTGTAACGATATTTAATCGCAGCTACTTTGTACAAAGATTTCCTATTCCATATTTCAGAAATTCAATAGAAATCTAAAAATCAGCAAAAAAGAACAGAAGATCTATTACGAGATGGGTAGTCATATCCAAACGACTCGAATGGGTAAATTGAGTGTTGAAAATGTTTTAATTTCTTGTTTTTATTAAAACATCAATTATAATTAGAAAAGTATCGGCTAATTGCTATATACAGAGTTTGAATAGAGGTTGAAAGCGGTTAGAAAGACGAGTATAATTTTATTATTACGTGATGTTTATTCCGTTCTTGCGTTCTTGGTTATTCGATTTCATTCGCAATTAAAGACCTGTGAAACGATGCCGTTTACGCAAAGCTATTAAAACGCATAAGGGTTAGTCGATTAAAGATTCTAAGAAGAAGACCTTCCAATTTGCCTATGAATCAAAATAGACAAATTGAAATACAGATGTGATCAAATTTATATAGTGTATTATTTTGGAGTCCAACGTCTGAAAGTGCATGTTGGAAGGTCGGGACGAGACGAAACGGCCTTGCCGCCGGCTGTGCCACTTTCTCCGGTGCAGATCAAGAGCCCACGTGCGTTACGTACACTCTACAAAACAATACGAGTTCCACAAGCTCTGTCACGCCGACGCACTCTTTGGAACAGCTGACATAATCACCCAAAATTACTTCGCTTCTATACACGGACAATGCGAGGACAATTCAGATTACATTAGCGTTTGTATCTTTAGCAGTTTTGTTAATAAACGAAGCCTTGGTCTCCAACTGTGACGAGACATTCTCTTTCCATAATAATTATGACCCACAGTTTCGTAACATAATGCGTATCATGTAAAATCCGTCTTGATGAAGATTCTGTAGTGTTACCTTCATATTGAAACGTTGTTCAGTAAGTTACATTCATGCGGTAACCAAAAAATTAAATACAGGACTTTTCATAAGTCAAAGTCAAAATCATTTATTTCAATTAGACCAGGAAGGCACTTTTGAAGGTCAACAACAAAAAAATTTAGAAGTGAAGCTAGTTGCTCATTCCAAGGAATAGATTCCTATGTAGAAGAAAGAGCAAGAAACTCCATAGGTTACTCTTTTTCAATCGGGTTTACAATACAATTCTCTAATTACATAGTTTTGTTGGTTCGATTGTGTGAGAACAATGCAACACCTAAACTCAATGCAGTTACAGATGAGGTGTAGATACGAAATGTCTTAATAGCCGTGGATACTGTAGCA